CCCTCGGGGCATTGCTGGGGCTCCTCTGGCCCCGCTCCAGCAGGTCCCTGGCTCTGCTGTGCTGAGGACTCCAGAGCTGCCCCAGCACTGCAGGGGGGTCTCCCCAGAGCTGGCAGAGGGGCAGGATCCCCTCCCTCAACTGCTGCCCACGCTGCTGTGGGTGAGCCCAGGCTGGTGGGGCTCCTGTCCAGCTCCTCACCCCCAGCACCCCCAGGGCCTTCTCCCCAGGGCTGCTCAGGTAAACAGAAAGAACTCTCCACGTTCTGTTTGGTGCTTAGGTGGGAAATCCATTATTTCATGCAGGGGTTTCCTTTGTGCTGGGACAGGCTCATTAATAAGGACGGGATGTATTTCTCCTCAATCAATACCCATTAGAATTAACGAGTCCATTACTTAAAAAGACAGCACAGTGATTTTCCATTGGCACCTCCAGCCTGAGTCTCTAGGGGAAAACCTGTCGATAGCTCCTGTGTCTTTGTAGGAGCTAAACCCAGGGAGAGGGGCGACTGAAGAGTTGTCCTGTGGTCTCTCCTCACCCTTTATTGGTGGCAGAGAACCTGGGGGCTCACGGGCCGAGCTCTGCACCCACTCCTCTTAATTACCCTTAAGTAGGGGCTTTACCAGCACGTTCAGCAGCACCAGCAACGTGCAGCCTTTAGTTCTTCCCTTCTCCAAAACTGCCTTTTTCTCCCCTCTGCTACAATTCCCTTCCTTGCCACACAGGTATTTATTTTCAAGGAACCATCAAACTCATTTGACAGCAATTACGAGTGGGGCTTTTTAATTAGATTGTTCCAAGGCTGGGTAACAAAGGGGTGGGTTTCTTCTCCCAAAGCAGATGCTGCTCTCTCCAGAACCTCAGGGAGGGAAGATTTTTTCACTTTAAACAATCAGAAAACAGGAGGTTCAGTCAAAACAACAAGGCCTGTACAACAGCACCTTCCGAGACGTTGCCAAATGCCCTCAGTTGGTTTGGGAGATGGGGAGAAGCTTCTGCCACGTAGATAAAGATCCTCCATGGATAGAAACATTTCTGGGGCCTTTCACACGTGGAGAAGTGGCAGAAAGGGGAATTTTACTCTCTGGAAAGGCATTAATTTCACATGCCTGTCTTTAAATGTTTATCATCCCTCTGTGCCTTACAAACTCATTAGCCCTTTGATCTCCTCCCGTAGGTTTTTTGGGGGGAGAAGTTGATTTTACACTATAAAATCCAGCCTGTGATAGAAAACTGCTTTACTTTGGCACTGCCTAGGAGCTTTATTTAAATCTTTTTTTTTTTTGGAATTGAACTGAGTTTTGCCAACGGAGAGTTTAATAAATGCTTTAACACATTAGTCTTTCTCTATTCTTCCCTCTTTTTTTTTTCCCCCATGAAACTAATCAGCATGCTGCTTTTTGGAGCTGTCAGGTTGGGAAAGAAACAAGTCGCCCAATTAAATATTAGTCCCAGGGGGATCTTGAATTCCTGCTTCTTGGCACTCCCAGCTTTTTCTTTTTTGCTGAAAGTGGAATTTTGTTCAGAAACACAACTGCTCAAGCTGTGCTGCAGGGTGCTCGTGAACATCGCCAGCGGGTTCTCCCCGGTGCTGCAGGAGCTCAGCTTTGCTCCTGGATTTCCTTCTGTACCTGCTTAAACAGTCATAGGATGGTTAGGGTTTGAAGGGACCTTTCAAGGTCACCCAGTCCAACCCCCTGCAGGGAGCAGGGACATCTGCAGCTAGAGGAGGGTGTTCAGAGCCCCGGCCAACCTCACCTGGGATGGTACCAGGGATGGGGCAGCGACCACCTCTCTGGGCAGCCTGGGCCAGGGGCTCACCACCCTCAATGTCAAACATTTCTTCCTTCTCTCCAGTCTCAATCGCCCTCCTTGAGTTTCAAACCCTCCCCCCTTGTCCTGTCCCAACAGCCCCTGCTCCAAAGTCTGTCCCCAGGTTTCTGACAGGCCCCTGGCAGTCCTGGCAGCCCCCAGCAGGTCTCCCCAGCTGGAGCCTTCTCCTCTGGGGCTGCCCCAGCCCAACTCTCTCCTGCTGGGCTCCCAGCAGAGGGGTTCCCCCCTCGGGGCACTGTTGTGACCCCAATGTATGACAGTGCATGGAAAGAACGATTCAATTAGTGATGAGCTGCCCTAAAAGCTTTTAGACCGTGCCCAATAAGGGATTTACCTCTGGAGGCTGCACTTCAGAGCTCAAACATTTTGAAGACCTCAGTGTTTCCCCACTGCCCAAAGCCCCTTTTGGTTTGTTTTGCAGAAAACACCGAGGGGGTGTCTCTGCAGCTGGGGAACGCCCGAGATTTCATCATCTCTTTTGACCTGAAGTTGGTGACCAACGGGAGCGTGTCGGTGGTGCTGGAGACAACAGAGAAGAACCAGCTCTTCACCGTGCACTACGTCTCCAACACCCAGCTCATCGCCTTCAAGGACAGGGACATCTACTACGGCATCGGTCCCAGGACCAGCTGGAGCACCCTCACCAGGGACCTGGTCACCGACCTGCGCAAGGGCGTCGGCCTCTCCAACACCAAAGCCGTGAAGCAGACCAAAATCATGCCCAAGAGAGTCGTGAGGCTGGTGGCCAAAGGCAAAGGCTTCTTGGACAACGTCACCATCTCGGCCACCGCTCACATGGCGGCTTTTTTCGCCGCCAGCAACTGGTTGGTGAAGAACCAGGACGAGAGGGGAGGTTGGCCCATCATGGTGACGAGGAAGCTGGGGGAAGGCTTTAAGTCCTTGGAGCCGGGCTGGTACTCGGCCATGGCTCAGGGCCAGGCCATCTCCACGCTGGTGAGGGCCTACCTGCTGACGAGGGAGCACACCTTCCTCGGGGCGGCCCTGAGGGCCACGGCCCTCTACAAGCTGCCCTCAGAGCAGCACGGGGTCAAGGCCGTCTTCATGAACCGCCACGACTGGTACGAGGAGTACCCCACCTCCCCCAGCTCCTTCGTGCTCAACGGCTTCATGTACTCCTTGATCGGGCTCTACGACTTGAAGGAGACAGCTGGGGAGAAGCTGGGGAAGGAGGCTCAGCTCCTCTACGAGCGGGGCATGGAGTCCTTGAAGGCCATGCTGCCCCTCTTCGACACCGGCTCCGGGACCATCTACGACCTGCGGCACTTCATGCTGGGCAGCGCTCCCAACCTGGCCCGTTGGGACTATCACACCACCCACATCAACCAGCTCCAGCTCCTCAGCACCATAGACGAGTCGCCCATCTTCAAAGAGTTCCTCAAGAGGTGGAAGAATTACCTGCGAGGAGGGCGGGCAAAGCACAACTAGAGCTTCCAGCCAAACCCCTCGGCCCCGCTGCCTCGCCGAGGTACAGTTTCAAAGGTTGCATCCTCAAGTTTTGGGGTTTTGTGTTTTTGTTTTTTTTTTTAATTACCAACTGTTTCAAAGAAGTGATCCTTAAAACTGATCTCCGGATGAAGTCGTTGCATTCCAGGGTCCATGGGTGGGATCTGGGAACTTCACCTGTCCTTAGTGCTCCACGGCCAAACTACCCGCACGAAGAGAAACCTCTCTCTGCTCTGGAGGTCAGGGAGGGTTTTGGGGTGGGTTTTTTTTGTTTTTTTTTTTTTGTTTTCCTTTTTGTAAGGAAATATTTGCAGAAGCCATACAGGTCTCTAAAGCCCAGCACTTCCCTCAAGTTCAGTCTGTGGCCTCTTCTGCAGTGGAATCCGTGTGTGTCTCTGTCAAAGCAGAGCCTGTGGTGTCACGCCGTCGCTGTGTATTTACTCCTAGCCTGGCTAGTGGACAACATATCGTGTTAATGGTGGTTTTTATTTTCCTTTTGGGGTGAAAACACCACATTTGACTTTTATTTCCAGTTCTCTCTGTGGAGATCCTTGAGCTGTATGGTTTCTTTGCAGACGTGAGGATGGAAAACAGGCAGAGGCGGCGCCCGGAGCCGAGCTGCCCATCGCTCATTGGGATCACTGCAGCCTCCTCCTCCCTGGGAGCTGGAATCACTCATCGTGGAGCCCGAGCTTTTCTGCTGTGCTTTTGAGTTCCATCTGAGAGGTTTCTTTGAGCTTTGGCAGCTTGGTTCTTCAGGAGGCTTGTCTTGAATCCCCGAGCGTGGCCTGGAGCTCGTTCTGAGCGGCGTGCAGGAAATTCAGTGGGAAGGAATGAAGGTTTTCTTATGGTGATTTTTATTTTTAACCTGCTTGAGTAGATGGAGCGTTTTAAAAATTAAAATCACCCCAGAGGCCTTTCCAGCTCCACCTGTGCTTTAATACCAAGTTTCACCTGCCTCTTACTCACAGTAGAAGGGGTTGTTCCACCTCCAGCACAGGCTCCTTGGGGGAGCTTCGTCCTCGTGGCTCCACTGAGCGAGCAGAGGTGCCTGACAAGAACCAAACTCACCATGTCTGAACCCAGACACTTCCACCGTGCTGTCACCATGCAGAAGGACCTGGGCACTCTCTTTTGCCCGTGGATCAGCCCGTGCCACCCACTGTTCCTCTGCCTTCCCAGCGTGCAGCCTCCTGGTTGATCCAGAAGAGTGAACCCAGCATTAGATCAGGGGGGCTTGCTGGGGAGCTCAGCAAATTTTGGATCCTCAGATCTGCTGAGACACACTGGTGGTCACTAAGAGTCCCAGACTCGACATCTGGACACCTCTTCACCTTGGGGTTTTTCCACTGAGCCTATTACCTGGGGTAGGTGTCGGTGGGGGTTAAGCTTAAGATGCTTCTGGTGAGGAGAGAGTTCACTCAGATCACACACAGGCTGGGCACAACACACATCTGGGGGTTGATTTTGTTTTCTGTCTTGATTTTTGATGCTTTTTCTCATTTCTCACAGAGATTTGAAACACCTTTTCTGATTACTTGAGCTTTGCCAACGCACGCTACGCTCATACCCATCAGTGTGAGGAGGGGATGTCACAGGAGACATTTCAATACCAAAGGTAGCAGAGGGGAATTTGTTTTTAACTCCACACCACCCCCAGAAGGGCCCTTCCTTCACAAACACTGCTCCTCACCACACAGGAACAGCCTCCTGCACGTTTCCTCCACCTTTTGCCCCTTTGGGATTTGGAGACTCTACAGAGACTCTCTGGGTCCCGCTCACAAGATGGTTTTGGTGCCTTACAGAGGCCACAAGTTCCTCTTTTATTTATTTAATTTTTTATTCTTTCATCAAGGCCAATTGGAAGGTCTCAGTGTGGCTGATCTCTCAGTGCTGCCTGAGAGGGGATTCTCAGATGGTTGAGCTCAGAAGCATTGGTTGGCAGTGCCAACACCACCTCTCCTCTCAGACCACCTCCCCCCAAACATCTCCCACGCCGTTTTGTTGGCCTTAGCACACACTGAACTTCAACCAACCACCATCAGAGGTCGTGGAACCTCAGGGACTTCCTGTGGGGTTTCTCCTGTTGAGACTTTTTCCTCCAGTCGTGCAGTGGATGAGGATTATTCAGCCCATAACTTCATCGTATCCATTTCAATTGGGTTTGTTTTTTTTTTTGGGTTGGTTTGCAGTCTTCAGATGTAACCAAGGTCTTGGGGACTGAGATCTGTTTGGGGTTTCTCCCTGTACATAGACATCATCAGAGACATAGTGTGCATGGGTGTGTGCAAACCAGTGACACAAGCACAACTGTACAAGTGTGGCAGTGCTGTTTTTTCTCAGACATTCACTGAAAGCTGCTATTTTCCTTCACCTTGTAATTCTGCTTTATTTTTTCTACCTTTCTTTGTTTGTTTTTATTTTTTCTTTGACATGTGGGACGTACACCATGTGTGAAATATGCAATAAATTGTTTACAGGATGCTCTTGTAAAGGGTGGTCCTTTGTAAAGCTGTACAGACTTTGCAGTTTAAGCACAATGTGCACACGTTAGTTTTCTATTCAGCCAGATGTGACTTTTTTGCAGAGGGAGAGGTTCTACTATGTTTATATTCCAAGTCAATGGATCAACGTTTGTGCTTCATGTAAAGCTGCTTTCTAAGACTGTAAAATAAATTTTTTTTAATCTAAGACAAACGTGGGATGTCTCCATTCTTTCAGTCAGGACCTTCTGCCCCACCTGGGGTAGAAGATGAGACCTTAGGAACAATTATAGACTCAGGGAATTGTAGAATCATGGAATCATGGAATCATAGAATCATGGAATCATAAAATATTTTCCATTGAAAGGAACCTTTAAAGGTCATTTAGTCCAACTCCCAACCCCCCTGTCATCTTGGTGGTTTTAAGAAATCTCCTTTTAAGAGTATTCTGGAAGGTTTTTATTCTAAATCATGTGGCAAATGTTCTTTTGTTTTTTTCTTTTTTTCAGCAGTCCAAAGTTTGCTGGTTTGAGGTAAGGACCACAGATGTCTGTTCTCGGCCTGCTCATGTGAAGTTCACAGAGATGTTGCTGGAGTGAGTTATTTCCTCAGCTCTGGGGAGGTGGTGGTGTGAGAAGAGAAGGCTTCAGAGAGACCTTGTGGCCTGCCAGGACTGCCAGGGGCCTGCCAGAAAGCTGGGGACAGACTTTGGAGCAGGGGCTGGTGGGACAGGACAAGGGGGATGGTTTAAAAATCAAAGAGAAAGACTCAGGCTAGGGAGAAGGAGGAAATGTTTGACACTGAGGGTGGTGAGCCCCTGTCCCAGGCTGCCCAGAGAGGTGGTCGCTGCCCCATCCCTGGCACCATCCCAGGTGAGGTTGGCCGGGGCTCTGAGCACCCTGCTCTAGCTGCAGATGTCCCTGTCCCTGCAGGGGGGTGGGACTAGATTGACCTTAAAAGGTCTCTTCCAACCCAAAACATTCTGTATTTGTATGATTTCTGCTAAACACATCTCATGTTGAGTTTCTATGATTTGTATTAAATAACAATTTTAACTGCCTGGTCACTAAACGTCCCCTAACAAAGAGGACAGGAGGTCAGGTGAGCTTGTCTGCAACATTCAAGAAGCACACTGCTCTCTGAGTCCCTATTTCCAGCTAAAATTATGCAGCTCCTTTCAAAATCCCCCCCCAAACCCAGGGCTGAGGTCACCTCTGTGTGACCCACCCCATGCCTGAGGTGCTGCCCCCCACCCTGACATCAGACTGGAGCCACTCAGTGAGAAGTTGGTGCCAAGATGCCCCGTTTGACTTGGCCATGAGTAATTTTGGGGGGCAGAAACACCCCGGAGCAAACCCTCCCCAGCAGGGCAGAGCCTCCAGAGCATCTCCAACTGCTTGGGGTGAAAACTCTGATTTTTCATTACTTAGCAGTTTGGTAAAAGAGGATGAATCAAAAATAGAAGCGGATTGAAATGCGTTGTCTGGGTGATGAATTTAAACGTTTGCTGCTCAGTTTGTGGTGAAAGGAGACACGTTTCCCATCTGCCTGGGCTGACTGATAAGTCCCATGTGCATGCTGAGCATCCTGAATGTTCAACAGTGGCTTCTAAACTTACTGAGCTCTCCCCAAACCAGCAGGAGCTGGTGGAGTGCCCAGCACTCCGTGTTCAGCCCGTTCCTCGAGGTGGAGTTTTGCAGGGGTGAAGTGGAAATGGTGAAAGACTTCCTGGCACTCGCTGGCTCGAGCCTTCAGGACAGTCAATATTTTAAAAGCTCATCGTGGGGAATTTGTGTCTCTAAGCAACTTGCTGAGTGGCTCTTCTTAGGTTGAGCTGAAGATGGAGTGGGCCCCTGCGAACCTCATGAGGTTCAA